CGAATCGTCCCATCTCCAACCAATCACCGACCGTGGAACTCGAAAAGGTGTCTGATCCTGGTGATCCCACCCCGAACACTGTGTTCACCGCTGATTCCACCGTTCCCGAAAATGACCAGCCACCGAAGCCCTCGTCCGACGGTGCCACTTCGCCAGATACCGGGACCCCCGTGTCTCATCCTGATCATATTCCCGAGAACATTGAAACCGAACGTTCTACATCCGAACCACTGGTGCTCGAGCCTCCAGTACTGAATATCTCCTACGTGAGTGCCGTTTGTTATTCCCGCACTTCCCATTTGTTTACCCCGCACGATCCAATCATTGAAGACGGATCGGTGTTCGTTCTTTGTTCTAAACTGTTGTGAGTGCGTAATACTCAACCCCCTCCCAATTTTCCCAAGTGTATGCGTGTTACGTATCTTCCCCCACATTCTTTATAGATCCAATCAAGAAACGAGGGGCTGTGACTGAAAATGTTGGCTCTATCCAGTCAAATATGATCTGATACTGGTAAACGGCCACCCTAAGACCAACGAGATTCCAACCTTGGTCAAACTTTATGACTGACCGATGAATATTGAACAAACTATGGATTGATTTTTTAGAAAGGTTCTCGTTCTGTGCTTTATTTGACGTACATTTCATTCAAACCTCAAGATGTTGACTACTTAATAACATAATTGTTAAATGAATCTTATCATCGCACAGGTCGGGTGGTCGAATATTCCCCCTCCCCCTGTCACCAGATTGCCTCTTACAATTGTTCACGAATTTACGCCTGTCGAACAAAATAGTTAATCTTGTTTGCCTACTGAAACCTAATCATTGATATCTAATGTATTGGTTTTTGTCCGTTTCTGTTTGCCTCTTTGTTTTTCAATGAATGCATATTTTTTATTCGTTTAAAAAAAATACATTTTAGTATGATAAAAGGTATCGAGCTTTATTGCAACTCACAAATGCCTGGAGTTTAGTCATATTCACTTCCATGCCATCTCTCTCTTGTCTGGATTTAAATCGTGGTTCAAACCAGTCATAACAGGCATTTTTGTGACAGATAACTCAGTGAATGATTGGTTCTTGGTCAGAGTGCCACCAGCTTAATGCCACTTGGATAAGAAAAATCCCCGCATAATATTACTTTTCTTCTCTTCTCCCAACTTCATCTTTTCACCAATAGGGTCTTTCAAATCGCCTTCAGTTTCCTGCCCCTCCGGTCCGACCAGTGATCAACAACTCCTCCCGTCGATTGCGATTTCGGCTAGACACACTTTTGGCCCGACGTGTAGCAGCTGCCGAAGCAGATAAAGCTGCCGCTAAATCGGCTGAAGCCAACATTGAAACTCTGGAAGAGGATATTCGGGAACTTGAGCAGGAGAGAACAAAGCTCACGAATCGCCTTACCGAGTTGGCTGAACAGGCTCAGGAAGCTCGTACGGCAAAGGCCAAGGCTGTCAAAGCAAGACAAGCTGCAGGACCTGTTCCGGCTCTAAGACCACCCATCCGTTCCGCTCCGTTCATAGTGTCTGCAGCAGGAAATCGTTCCGTCAATTTGGCAGCCGCCATTGCACAA